AGCAAGAGCCATTCAGCCTAGGATCCTCCACAGATTACATATTATGCCTTTTTTAAGACACAAATACAATCCAGCTCACTCACCACTTTGCCCCAAATGTAAATCTGAAAGAGGAGATTATATTCACTGTGTATGGGACTGTCATGTGATTCAGACCTACTGGTCCAGAATTGTAGCTCAAGTGAGGTGAAACTCAGAGGTGTCTCTCAGTAGCTACAAGGGCTGCCATAGACCGCCAAATTGCTCTGGTGGTCTCCTTGGTAGCCCTGAGAGACAGATCTGTGGTCCCACAAAGTTCGCGAACCTCATCGGGCCCCACTCCCTCACTCTTATCAATATCCCCCAGCAGTTCAGCCTGATAAGCCTGAAGCACTGCCATCGTGTGAAGGCAGGCTCCAGCTTGACCTGCTGCCGTATATGCTTTGCCCACCAAATTGGATGTTGTCTTTAATGGCTTGGTGGGCAAAGCCGAGGCCTTCAGAGACGATGCTGGACAAGGCGACTCGCGGGCGAGCGTCTGTTCAGCCCGGGGCATCGATTCAACCCTCTTATTCCTGAATATAAATGAACTTGAGGGCTGAAAAGTCGTGAAGAGTATGGCTTATTCCATGATCTAGACAGCTCACTGTGAAGATCGGGGGAGAAGGGAAGGCCTCGTGGTGGAGGTGAATGCTAGATGTAAGGAAGCGTTCGTAATTTGCTTTTGGGACGAGCGCCTCTTTTCTCGGCTGGCCATTCAATATGTAATTTTTCCACAGCGTGAGTGATCACCTCCACCAGCTCCTCATATGCGGGGGAAGGAGGTGGCGAATCTCCTTCCCCCATGTGTGTGCTTTCACTTCCAATGCTTAGTACATCAACCTCCTCGGAGGAAAAGCACTGAAGCATTGGTGGGCTCTCTCCCCGGGCGGAAGAAGGCGCAGAGCGGGCTTCCGACACCAGAGGGAGAGTGCTGAATCTTCCAGGTAAGGAAGGAGAAAGGGCCCTCGGACCCATCTCCAACCCCTCTGAAAGATCCTTTTGCGATCCCTAGGAATGCATTCTCCGTGTTGCCTCGGCAACAGCGGGTCCTGCACCCTGAGGATCGCAAGCCTGGCCACTTTCCTCTAAAAGTGACAGGCGAGAGCGGAGCATGCGAAGCGGAAACATTTCGCAATGTTGGCATTCAGCCCCCTCAAAGGCTGAAACTGCATGCTCCACTCCCAAACAAATCACACAAAGCTCGTGTGTATCCCCACCCGTTAAATAACGCGGGCAAGGAGAAGCACACAGTTTGTAAATTTGTTTCGCCATCTTTCCCAATATATATATATATATATAAATACATACAACAGTAAATATAACAGACAGAGAGACACAGATAGCTTGCTGAGCCAACAGAAGCTAATGCCGGTTTGCACCGGATGTGCTTTTATCTCTTCCTGGTCATGACATCACCCGCCCGTGACGTTTATTCTTTCCATTGGACTAGTGGACATAGATGCTTCAGACGCATTCACGCTGGACGCGTTCCCAAAGCGTCATCGACGCATCGCGAGTTCACCCGAAAGGGAACTTTAATTACTTTCGTTCTTTTTTTTTATTAAGTGCTATGAACCTAACTTTTATTGGACAATAATTGCATAAGTATTAAGAGTTCATTAACATGATTATGAATACATTAAGCCTATCCCCAAGGTTAAACATAACCACTTTAAAAAAAAATTTTTATATATATATACACATCATAATGCTGTCAATATGAATTACAAATAAATACTTAGTAGATCGCATTGATAAAATCCATCAGTTAGGATTAGGAGAATATACAGTTTGTGCAGTATAAAAAACATTATTTCTATATGTGTGGCATACATATAATATACATTTGCGTGTGTGTTGCTCAAGTGATCTTTGTCTTGCCTGCATGTTCGCACACCTCTGACTCCCACTTGCATTCCATTTCCACTTAATCTGTTGAGAAATCACCAAAGAAAGATAATTGAAGCAAAAGAACAAAACAAAAAAACACCACCAACATGGATTTACTTCAGATTTACTGGTGAAGAAAATGTAGAGGTTTTCAAATGAGTGATTCATTCGTCACTGCTGCATGTGACACTGGTATTTTCTTTTGAAATATATGTTGCCCTTACTGATTTTTTAAAAGATTAAAAGACAGGAATTGTCTTGTCTTTTAATCTATAGAAAATCAGTATATGAAACAAAGATGTTTCAAAAGAAAATACTGGAGTACAGCAACAAAAAAAAGTACATTTAATGTCACTGAATAAACGCCATTTAGTTCTCTCCTTATTTATGTTGATGCATTTTAAGATTTGTTTTTCTTTTGCAGTTTTTTCTCACCTTGGTAGTAATTGTTACATTAAAAAAACTACAGAAAATATCAAAAACACTAATTTCAAATGTTTAAATTTGACCTAGTCAAGTGTTCATTTGGTTAGTTTGAAAATATTATATCTGGACTTTAAATTAATCGTTTTATTTTCATATTATAAAGAGCAGCTGAATAAAGATCAAATTAATGAAAATAGAAGCAAATGAAATGTATTTTTTCCTCTCCTTGAAAAACAGATGCTTCTTTCTTGGAAATAAATATACATTTTTATTTTTTTAAAATCCTCTGTTTTTTGTCTTATATGCATTGTTTTTATACTCCTTTTTTGTTGTTGCTATAAATGAATACCTGTAATATTTTGTCATGCACATATTATCAGACTCTCTTGGAGCTTGTGAAAGAGTTGTACTTCAGTACTGAATTCAGTGTGCGGCCAGCCAACTTCTTGCTCGTTTTGGAATTTAATCTATAAACACAAACTACAACAAACTGTTTTATCTGGATTAATAGGTATATTTTGTATAAACTGTAATTTTTTGAGAATTGCTTTTGTAGTGATATATTTTGATGAGTGAAAATTTTGACCATGACCATGATGAACTTTGACCTGCTCTGTATTTCTCACGTAATATAATATTCCAGTCACTCCGATTATGCTGTAGTTATGAATGCTGTCCCGTCTGGGTTAAAATGCTTCTGCCAACAATGCTCCTGAACACACCTCGTTTTCAGACCAGCAGCCCATGGCCGCACAAATGCATTTGCTATTTAAACAACGTGGCGCAGGACGTGAAAATGATAACTGCGTCAGGCTGAAACTAGCAAAACACACATGTCTGGCGCCACATTGTGCTGTGTGTGTGATAGGGCCCATCGTCTCCAGCACTAATATATTGGATTATTCTATTATTGGTATTTTAGAACGACTGTGATTGTCTAATGTGGAATTAAATGTGGAAATAAATATTTAACTCATAAATATTTAATTAGAAAACTAATTTCTTTTAAATTCATTTATAAATATTACTATTGCAATTACTATCGTCTAAACAGATTTCATCGTGAAATTTATATATTTTGTACATTTTGTGGTTTACATGTTCAAACTTATTTTGTTTTTGGTCGGATTTGTTTTTTAATTAAGGATTATATCATGCCCAGCTTTCAATGTTGAAAAATGGAAATGCTTTATTTGTTCTTTCCCCATGGCATGTCTTATAAGGAATATTATTTCATTTATCTGCTACTTCTATTAGCTAAATGTAGGATACATAAATGTAAGTGGGGGGAAATAAATTCAGCTGTAAACATTAGTTTATATCAAGTAACTCTAACTATTAATGGATAATTGTTTTTTATGCTTTAACTATTATCTAACTTTACATAAGAGCTTATTAAACAATAATTATTTTGTTAATACAGTTGATTGAAGAACTCACTATAGTCTATTAACATATAGAGACTACAGTATGTGTGTGTGTGTGTGTATATATATATATATATATATATATACACACATTTTTGCATTTTCAAATGTGATTTATAAGCTATTTTCCTCATGGGGACCAAAAAAAAGTCCCAAAAACCCAAAGTCTCAAGTTCAAAAATGCCTTATTATTATATAATATAATATAATATAATATAGGCTAATATTAGAATTAATATTAGATTTTAGTTTCATCTGACACTTTCATGTGACACCATTCATGTCTTAATCTTTTCTGTTTCATGAGAAAGTTCACAATTTATTTTCTAGTATTTTTGACTGAAAAGGGAGATTTGAGATCGGACTGTAATGAACTAATTTTCTAGGGTAAAGTTGTGTTGTTTTTAATGTGAGGCTTAAAAGTAGCTTGAAAGTTTTTGGAACATATCCTAATGACAATGATTAATTAATAATATTAAGGAGTGAATTTATGACTTCTAGAAGCATCTCTTTCAGGAGCTTAGTCGGTAGGGTCTAACAAACATGTTGTGTATTTTGATGATTTAACAAACTTTGACAATTATTCCTCTCCTATAGAAAAGAATGAAAAGAATGAAGAATGAAATGTTCCTCAGGGTCTATTGCACAATGTCTGAAGCAATACTGTAGTAGATGGTTGCATGGTTATCATTTTCTCTGATATTATCAATTTTGCAAGTAAAAAAAATCCTAAAGGCATTTTTAAAGTCCTTAAGTCATTACAAAATCAAGTGTTTTGCATATTTTAAAAATATTTCATCTGGACAGGTAAGTAACTGAGTGTTCAAATTTTAAAAAACTTTTGTTTTGTTTGTATTTCCCCTTTCTGACAAAGCTTCACTGAAGCAACTCGTGCAAATGACATTCAATAAATAATAATAATAATAATAATAATTCAATAATTTAAAAAAAGAGAAACCTGTGGATGAGCTTCATATTTCCAATTTGATTACTTGTATGTAACTGTTAATGTAACAAGTGTCCCACCTCAAAAGTTTAAAACCAAATCAACTTAATTCTAATTCAAATCTCGGTCTAAGATGGTTCACAAAATCACCAACTGCCATCAATTAAAGAGAATATGAAAATTATTGCAAAATATGAAATCCACACGCCCACCAGCACAAACTCTCCGCCCATGAGTCTCAAATGAAAGGGATAAACTGCCTATATAAAGACAGAGTCTGTCTGACTAAAAGCACCAGAAATCCACAGGACAGGCACACAGGAACACCTGATACTCAACACAGGTATGATGGCATATGATCCAATCATCTACATAATCGAAATCATTAAACACTTTTAGCAACTGTATTTAATTCTGTAGATAATTGGTGAAATAGAAACATTTTTGACCAGTATTTTTAACATCATGACGAGTGATTGACATTTCAGCACTTCATGAATAGAAAGCAACACTTAAGTTTAAAACCTGAACTCTTGTTATATCATCATCCTAAACTTTATAACATATCAAATACTTGTTCTTTTCTGTGTTTCTTGAAACGCATCATAAATGTATGAGCCATTAAAAAATGGATGTTAGCCAATTAAAAGCATTAGAACAATGTTAATTTGGTTTTAAATTGTTAGTATTATCATTATTTTTATTTTTGATTCCAATAGACTTAACTTTAAAAAGACTCAAGAAATGACTGGGAAAAAATGGATTCTCCTTGTCTCCGGCTCAAAGGGCTGGGAACATTACAAACACCAGGTTTGTGTTTGTGTTTTTTCATTATTTTTAAGACATATTGCTCATAAATTCCCCAAGGTGTGCTGTGCCTCAGTTTATAAATGATGACAGTAACTGAAATCACCTTTATCATTTGCGTTTCAGGCCAATGTGTGCCTTCATTATCAGCTTATCAAGAGACATGGAATTCCTGATGAGCAGATTGTGGTGATGATGTATGATGACATCGCTTACAATCCAAAGTGAGTAATTTCCCAAAGCTTTTGAGTATCAAAGAAAATGAGTAATCACAGAAAAGTGTGGATAAGATTGTTGGAGCTGACTGCGTTTAAGCATCTTAACTTTTCTTCACTGCCTGCAGCAACAACACTAAAGGAAAAATTGTCAGTTTAATTGATGGTTTAGACGTGTACTCAGGAGTTCCAAAGGACTACACTGGAGCGGTAATATTTCTTTTGTTTTGACATGATAACATGTTTAGTTTTGTTTTGATGTTTTTATTCTATATCTGAGCACAATTATAACTTTCAACAATAATGATTAATTATGACAATTATGATCTTATAGGATCTGACCCCAGAGAACTTCCTGTCTGCTCTTCGAGGGGATACGAGAATGGACAAAAAAAAAGTCATAGCCAGGTTTGTTTGTCTGTAAAGAAGAAATCTTTCAATGATATCAATGTCATGTTATTAATTATTAATATTATTAATACCTTCACTTTTGTGCAGTTAATTAAGGGCCAACCACTGAATGGGAGGAAGCAGCACAGGAGCTTAGAGTTATAATTTGATTCTGAAATCACATAATATCTCTCTCTTTCTATTCCATATACTAATGTCTAAGTCATAGGGCTTGAGCCTTTCCCAGTTTCCTAGGCCAGAGTCAGGGGAAAGCACCCTGGACAGATAGCCAGTACTAAATATAAGGCAAAAAACAGTAGGCCTATGTGACAAAAGAAGCATGTCTGAATTCACAGAACTCATAAAAGAGTTGGCAAAAAGTCCCCAGATGACCTACTTCTTCCGGCGAGATTCTGGTTGCGTCCAAAATCGCACACTCTCTTGAGTTTTTTTTTTTTTTTTAAATAAGTAATTACTTCATGACCGCTAAAAAAGTATGTTCTATATAGTATTAGTGTGTGTAGTATTAATGTAATCTGTACGTAGTCTACTACATTCGCCATGTTGTCATTATCATGTGACCTACCAGCATCAGCTGAGTCGCTTCACAGGATATTAGGCTTGTTTGAGATGAGCAAAATCTGCGCAGAACCGATCACCGGTGATCAGCGCGAGATGAATTTAGCAGCCTCATCTCTGATTGGCTGGAATTATGGCATACCTATTGTAATGCTGGGTTGTGTTGAGCACGCGAGCCGTCTGCGCTTAGAGAGCGCTCAGGGCTGGTATGAGAGGAGCAAGAAAGTGAAACTTTGCACATGCGAAAGAGAACGTCTGCGCACATCCAAATACTTATTTTAAATGCAAAATTGATTTTCGTTCGCTCAAAATATTTTCTTATCTGCGAGACGAACATTTCTCCGCAAAACTCAGTTCACGCGCGTGCGAAATGCCCTTTTGCGCGCTCAAAATGTGATCTTGCGCACGCAGAATTGTGACCGAAATCTAATCCCATACATTTTCAGCTAAAATGAAGTAGGCCTACCATTTATTATTTTCATTTAATGCAGTGGACCCGATGACAACATATACATCTACATGACCGGTTTGGGACAAGTCGGCACGTTTCAGTTTCCTGAGAACGCAGTAAGTATAAAAAGATTCAAGAGATTATCAGAATGGACAAGATATACAGTATAATTATAATGATGTGCCGAAAATATTATGATATAAAAATGCCAATTCTCTACTCTCAATAGTGTAGCAATGTATGAAGCTCACAGATCTCAAATAATTCACTTTTAAACCAAGCAGTTTTCTGTCTACTAACTTGAATATGAGCAAAATCTATGGGGAACATTTTCACTCTCATACAAAACTCCCAATCGCACGGATTCCTATGGGAAAGAAATTCTGCCCGCAAAATTTCTCAGAAAAAACAATAAATGTTAAGGAATCTTTTATCTGAACAAATATAATAATACTAAGTAATATTATAGTAAAAAGCAAGAACTAGCATCACATTTATAAGTGTATCTATGGATACACAATTGACAAAACGTACAACAATTTTATTTAATTTTTTCCATTTATTATTATTTATTTATTTGCTTTTAATGGTTGTTTATAAGTGATCATCTCAAAAATGACTTTATTTACCCAGTATGAAATGGTAATTTCAGGGAATAAAACGATTAATTCAAGATTTTGCATGTAAATACAAGGATAAGGAAATAGGAACTTTTGTGTTTAATCTGACAACCTGCAGACTTCATGACCATTAATTCAGTATGTTTTATGACAGCTTAATCCTAATGCTTTCACTGCCACGCTCAAGAGCATGCATGATGGCAGCAAATTTTCAAAGGTATGTATTCAGTAATGTTCACATGATTTTTACGTATTATAAACATGATTATATATATATATATATATATATATATATATATATGTAAGGAATAATTGACGACGGGCCGTTGAATTATTAGAAAAATAATGCACACCCGAGGTGGTAATGCGGTCACGACGCGAAGCGGAGTGGCCGTTACACCTCGGGTGTGCATTATTTTTCTAATAATTCAACGGCCCGGAGTCAATTATTCCGCTTATACTACAGTTACCACACCTCGAAACATTGTTCAGATGATGTAATTCTAGACGTTTGTCAAGTTTTTGTCATTAAAACGCTCTTGTATGAAGGACTAATTTCTTACGCATCTAATCCCATGCCTCCGTTGCTAATTCCAAAACGTCATTTTAGAGTTAGTAACGGAGGTCTGAGCCACAGACAGCAGACTAATGATGGGGACACACTTACGACTTGCTGAAACATCCGAAGACTGACTGTTTCCATCGACTGCAGCAGGTTCAGGTTCAAACACCGACTGTGAACACCGACTGAACGCGCTGAACGCGCGTTTGGGCATGATCAGTCATAAGTATCAAATTACATTCATAACCGGCCTTACAATAAGTGTGTCCCCGCTTTATGTGGCCTAGTTATTAATGCAGTTATTAGAGATAGAGAGATGTTGCAAGTAATGAGACAGAAAAGCATGTGCGTCAATATTATTATTTATTTATTAATTCAATTCGTTTTAATTCGTTCATTCTTTTTTTTTCTATTATTGACAGTAGACTAGCCTAATAAAATTAACACAAAGCCATTTTAATAAGTAGGCCTATCAATAATTATTTCTTTGTATATTATCTGGAATAATTACGAAAACCCATGCAGCGGCAGGACTATCAATTTATTTATATATTCAGTTTAATTTTCTATTGATTATAGATACGACTATATGCTTTTTTTTTAATTCAAATTAAACTGCATGTGTCCATTGATTGTGAAGTTAGACATCGAAAATGGCAGATCAAGCGCATGGGCTGCATGTTTTTTCTTGTTATGAATTGTATCTTATTTTCCGTTATGACAGTTAACTATGCGCAGTGATATGGAACTGTAATGCGGTCAAACCTGCCTGGAACTACTTTAGCCGTGCGTTTCCCTGAAAATAATTGCACACCTTAGAACGTTCTCAACCAATCAGAATCAAGCATTCAACAGCCCTGTAGTATAAATATATATATATATACATACATACATACACACACACACACACAATGCAGTTCAAATGTTTTGATCGGTAAGATTTTTTATGTTTTTTTGAAAAAGTCTCTTCTGCTCACCAAGGCTGCATTTATTTGATAAAAAAAAACAGTAATATTGTGAAATATTATTACAATTTTAAACCGCTGTTTTCTATGTGAATTAACTGTAATTTATTCCTGTGATAAAAACTGAATTTCCAGCAGTCTTCAGTGTCACATGATCCTTCAGAAATCATTCTAATATGATGATTTAATGCTCAAGAAACATTTCTCATTGTTATCAATGTTCATCTTAAAATATATTAAAATAGAAAACAGTTATTTGAAATTTTCATAAAATTTTACAATATTACTTTTTTTTTAATCAAATCAATTTTGGTGAGCGGCCTTGGTGAGCAAAAGAGGCTTTTTTAAAAAACATAAAAAATCTTACCGATCCAAAACTTTTGAATGGCAGTGTAAGAGAGAGAGAGAGAGACAGAGAAAATGTATATACAAATATTATTTGCTGCCAAATGTCCAAATGTGACAAATTTGACCCTCTTCGACCTTCCTTACTTCAAATCCCAATCTTAAATTCAGACCTTGCGATTCTTTTTCCTACTCTTCTATTTCTAGCAGGTCCATCTTACCCTACAGTCACAGGCTTCTACTTTCACAACTGCTACTGCAACGCTTTTGAAAGGGGCAACAACATCCTGTAGTGATATAAAAGCGCTTAAGTAAAGGGAATGAGTCGGCTGTATTTTTAAATATCTCACTATTTCCTCATCATGTGTATGTGCTGCAGATGGTGATATACATGGACAGCGATTACTCTGGAGCGATGTTCGAAGACCTTCCCAAGGATATAGACGGTAAGATGCTATATGAAAACCACAAATAATGGTCCTGCCTTATTTGATCAAAGTCACACTAGTTTTTTATTTGAAAGTTGTGTGTATAACAATAATCAATTTTATGTCACCCAGTCTTTGCGTTGGCTTCATGTCACAAATATATCGAAAACACTCCCACTGATTACGATCAACAGAGGAAAGTCTACCTCTCTGATTTATTCTCAAGTACTTGGCTGAGGCACCTTAACGAGGTATGTGTTTTCTGTCAGTGAACTTTAAACTGCAAATTGCATTTGAAGGTTAACATTCTGATCTCATTACAGCCACAAAGTAAACATGACAAATGTGTGTATTTGTCTTTATATTCACAGGTTGACTTTACTAAAGACACATTCCATGAACTGGTAAAGAGTAAACAACCTAATTACACTGAAGATGGATCCTGCCCCTGCCAGTTTGGGGACTCGGTATTAAAAATTCAAAAACTTTATAAATACAATAACAAAACTTATGTTATTATTTTAATTATTTGAATATAACAGGATGTGAACACGTGTGTATATATAAAATCACAAGATACATGAATGTTGTACTTTTTTCTAAATTGGTTTCTGTTCATTTTCTTTTTTTCTTTTCTTTAGGAAATTACTAAATGTCACCTCAGTGAATTTCTGCAACAATGAACACCCAACAAGCTGTCCAAACCTTGTTCAAGAAAACGTCCAGCTGAGGATCAGGCAAATGACCAGAGTAATACTGATGACCTTTTGTACTAGTTTCTTGTTTCAGACTTACAGCTTTGTGATTAAAATTAAATGTATTGCAAAATAGCATACACTATCATTAAAAAAGGTTCCTGGTTTGGGGTTGATTTTTTTCTTCTTCTGTTCTTTTTTTCTTATATTCTTATGTTCACCAAGGCTGCATTTGTTTGATCAAAAATAGAACCTAAAAAAGTAATATTGTGAAATATTGTACCAAAAATAAAATAAATCTGGGAATAAGGTTAAAAATCCAGTGATTGTGTGTTATTTTATGTACGTGCATGGATTTGACAGCTTCTTTAATTCTACAGTCTTACTGTGCAAATGGCTAAAAGAAGGATGAAGACTTCACCTTCTAATCTGCTTATTTAATAAATTTCACTCACTACAAACAGATGCAGAAAATCACACAAAGTACACGCATGTCGATAGAAGTGATTAATTGGACTGGCCTGTACAAATTTACACATTTGGGATGGTTATTTATATGCATGGATTTAAAATTTGTGGTGTTTAAAAGCTCACTTTTGCACAAGTGTGCAGTAACTTTAAATATGCTGTATATTGACACATAGGGCCAGATTTACGTACATTTGCGAACGCAGCATTAATAGCGCCATGGCCAAGACGCAGAAAGCGCTTGATGTGAAACCGCAGTGCGCGTGTTATGTATCAAACCTGCAGTTCATCAGCGCCTGCCCTGTCCCCACACACTATACCGTAAATTGCGAAATTGAATGGGTCTCCTCCTCTCACTGCTGATGCTATGACTGTTTGAAATGATCCCGATGCCAATAATTGTAATGTAGCGAGGAGTTTAACAACTGCTGGAAGGGAATGTGAACGCTGAGTCAGAGATTCGATGTCATCTTTGATTTCTTCCAGTAACTGTAATATTGCGTAGCTGCTTAATCTGTAACGCTTAATGATTTCGTTTTCACTCAACTGAAAAAGTGTGATTCTTGTGGCAAAAATCTTTTCAGCTCGTCTCCTTAGCCTATGTCTTCGTCTTGCACGGATTACTGCTGCCATTTCACCAGGAGGCATATGCCAGGAAACCCGCTTCCTAAGTTACACCTGCTTTTAAAGTCCCCGTGAACCGGAAGTTGCAAACGACTTTTCTCCAGTGTTGTGACGTATTTCCGAGAGAAACGGAATACTAAATGAGGCAAAATAGTGGGCGTGGCTTTTTTTCCAACTAGCACCTGATTAGATCTAGAAAAGTAGGTGTTTTCATTCAGCCTGTCTACTGTCAGTTGGAGGGGCGTGGTTATGGATGTTAAGCAGACACCCAAACCGTGAAACCTACGTCATCGGGCAAGGTCCTCCAATGCAGAGGGGAGGGGCATTTTCAAAATTTGATTAAAGATTACGAAGCCAAAAATTTTTTTTGTGTGGATTGACTTGCATGGATGAATTGTTCACCACAAAACGATCAATTTAGGCAAACAAAGTAAGTATGGTCAATTTTGATTTCATGGGGACTTTAAGAGGCGGAGAAAAAGCGCAAAAAAGAGGCGCGCTTTCACCGACTTTTTCTGTACATAACGTGGAATACATAATTAGGCGCAGTTTACGCTTCCCCTCCCATCTCTTTATGTGACACTTCCCCTTGACCATCCCATGAATGCATATGCATGACACGAAAAGCGCATTCTGCCATTTTCAGTTCCCGCGACAGGCAGTCTGCGCTTTCATCTCGGTGCGTCCCGTTCGTACATACCTCGCCATGGTTTTATGCGCACTTTGCGAAACAAATACGCCTTAAGTGGGCGCAAAAGCGTTAGTACATCTGGCCCATAATGTCTTGCTAACAGTGATTGTGTTGCTGAAATGACCTGCTCAACATTAGAACAACTATAAAACCTGATTACAGCAGAATTTCCGGAAGACGCGTGCTCTAAACAACAACTTGATGGCATCATTTGTGTCTTTTACACCTGTGATAAACCACAAAGCAAAACTGATTACACCTGTGATAAACCACAAAGCAAAACTGATTTTGTCATAAATATATCATAACAGATATAAACTGTATGAGATACATTAATATTACTCAAATATTATCCTTTAGAAGAGATACAGTACTAGTCAAAAGTTTGATTGAATTTGTTTCTTGACCTTTTGGCCTAAAGGCTCATGCTTAAAATTACTCCTTGAAATTAGTTAGACAAATGTATTTTAAGAGCAGAGGCAGATGCAATCATATCCAGACAGGTGAATTTGAAGAAGTTTATAGGCCAAGTAAGCTTTGATTTTACTTTTCTTAAATGTAGAAGAAAAAAAAGAATAATATAAAAATTAGTGATATTGCCCGATATTTCTCAAACCTTTAGGTTTGTGCATTAGGCATTAAACTTCTGAAATCAATTCAACCCAAACCACAGTTATTCAACCAGTCTTATTTAAACCTTCACACTGCAAAGTGACTGAGTCTCTGTTGATTTTGATATTTGCATCACACAACCAGGTCCATATGTCTGGCTTTTTCTGGTGTCGTAAACTTGTTTGGTAGCTCAGAAATTGTGCTGCATTCACACCATGTTGAAATTGCCGTAATTTCGAGAAGACGACATGTAACGTTCTACTCTAAAATCTTCAAGTCTTCGAATTGGAAATTATGCATTTCAGTGGCAACACTATCAATGCCTAATGACGCTTTTCCACTCCATGGTACAGCTCGGTATGGCTCACTTTTGGGGGGGGGGGGGGGGGGGGGGGTTTACATTGTGTGCAGTACCTACCACCCCGGTTGAGGTTCAAGCGAGCCGTACTGACATTAAAGTGTGACGTATAAACACTGCAGATCACTGCAGACAGAAACGTCACTACCAGCGTCATTGGATTTGCGTTATTTGGATATGGCGCAACTATAATGATCTGTCTATTATCCCACCCACTTTGAAGCGGTACTAAACAGTGGAAAAGCAAACCGAACCAAAGTAAAGCAGGCAGAGCCGTACCATGCAGTGGAAAAGCGACAAATTAATCTGCAGGTGTTACAGCGGTTATGTGGTACAAGTAGGAGCTCTTGGAAAATTTCCAGCTTACTTAATGTATTTACGAGCTCTAAGAGGACATGAACTCTTTTTAAAAAGTTGAAATCTTGTAATTACGGTAATTATGACATCATGGCGTGAACGCACCATAATTGCATTTGTGACACAGAGCACTCACGTAAGAGTCACGTGAAACACGAGTCATAATAAAAAATGTATTTCATATTTATCAATTACATTTAAGGTATAGGGTAGTGAAGGAGCAACGTTATTTGCAAAAGTGACAGAGCATAACCTTTTAGAGCCACTCAACAAACATTTCATTTCCAAATGTTATGATATTGTGGCGTGGCGTTTCGCTACTAAGAAGTAAACAGACGGATTCTTCCTCCTTCTAAGGCTTTATTCAAGAACTGCAGGGTTACTGTTATGGCCGTAACCCACGCCGTACAACATGAAGGGAGAGATATAACGTGCTGTCTCTGCTCTGCTGTTAAACTCTGTCTGTCTTCCCGCTTCCAGCTCTCACTCGCTCTGGTACTCGACCCCGCTAAACCCCGCCCCTTAAAGAACCAGGGACTAACAGAACCACTTATGAGTCTATTAACACTGTCGAACAACATAACACTAACTAGTGTCTTCCATTTATACTGACATTACAATATGTACAACAACCAACATAATACAAATGAATTAAAAGAGTAAAAAAGATGATGCATAGATAAACTTCTCATCTGGCAAAACACCAGTGTATCATCTTTTTCACAACTGCCAGTTTTACTCTGAGATTTCCCCATGGTGATTATACACTGTGTCTGTGGTGTTCTCTTGGCGCACCTAAGAAATCTATTGGACGTCTCTGATGGACCCGATTTTCCCCTAAAATCGGACAGGAGGAACTGACTCACGGTGTAACCTCGGCTCTAGGAATGGAATCGATCCAGTCCGCACCCCACAGAAACTCGAGTGTAATTACTCGTCAAACTCACTCCAACACAGACCCAGGTCATCAGCATGGTTTCATCTCTCTTACCCAATTCTCAGTGCCGTTTGAGTTCAGTTTAGAATCAAAAGGAGGATGCGAAAATAAAATACAGTGTAATCAGTCGGACGCACAGTGGCACAGTACTCATTCAGTAAATGCACAGCTAAACAGAAGTGTTTTGAGTCTGGATTTGAATGTGACTACTGTAGGAGCACATCTGATCTCCTCTGGAAGCTGGTTCCAGCTGCGGTTGGCATAATAGCTAAAAGCAGACTCTCCTTGCTTTGAGTGAACCCTTGGTATTTCTAGCTGATGTGACCCTAATGATCTGAGTGATTTGTTAGGTTTATATTCAGTGAGCATATCTGCAATGTATTGAGGTCTTAGGCCATTGGGGGATTTATATACCAGTATTAATACATTAAAATCAATCCTAAATGTAACTGGAAGCCAATGTAATGACCTGAGGACTGGTGTGATATGTTAATTTTTTTCTGGTTCTGCTCAGAATTCTGGCAGCTTCACCTGCTTAAGTTCAGACTCACAGCCTCACTTTCACACCTGTCATGGTGCTGCTCTGAATAAGGGCTGCGTCTTAAAACTTAAAAATGCTGCCTTCTAAAATCGATCAGATTAAGGTATCTCAGGAGACAGGAAGTAAAGATGACATTGGATTCGGACGTGTCTTGAGGACTTCCTACCCTGGAATGCGTCCTCCGAAGGCAGCTGTGTTTTTTAACGTTTTCGGACGCAGCCCTTATTCAAAGGCAGCACAGGGCATCAAGGCCCGTCCAAAACACACAGGCGTGCCATGGGGATTTCAAAATAATGGCGTATCTTATAAATGACGATATGTATCGATGTTTTCATTTTAAATCAACCATATTAGATCGTTGATTACTGAATCGATGTATCGATCCATATCGATGGATCGTTACACCCCTAGTACTCACCCATTAAAAGTGCAAAAGCAAAATATTACTACAACAGACCACGAACAACCCCAAAAGATCGATTCTTTCAGCAGCTATTAGCCTATAATAGGGATGTATTACATATCACTGTAGTAGGCTGATGTGTGTCTATATTGCCTTAATCAAAAATGTTCGTCAACTGGAACATTGAGTGATAATATTGTGGCACCCCTGTAATTGTACAACTGACTACGCTACCCCTTGAGCTAAACTAGTTAGTATAAGTGTCAGAGCAAGGGGAACTCTGCCCCATTAAAATGTACAAACGCAGGTTCTTAGAAAAGTATG